CCGCTCCGGGAAGCTCCTGTGACCCCCCAGGAATGTGTCTGGGTAATTATAGCCCAGATGGGACACGTGGCCCTGGCTGGGAGCTGCGAGAGGCCGAGGCAGAGGGAGGTCCAAGGCCCTGGAGCCCTGGGACAGGGCAGTGGGGACACCCAGGTTCCCTGAGGACACACAGAGGGGCGGGTGGAAGCTGCTGGGGTTTTACCCTCCTCTCAGGCAGCAGGAAGGTTCAGGCAGGGCTGGAAAGCCCTGCTTACCCTGGGCAGGTCCTGTTGGGGGTCTCTGGCCAGACCCCTCCTAAACCTGGCTCGCATCCAGAGCCCAGGGTGAAGCAAGGTCACCTCAAAAGTCCTTGGGAGGGACAAACACAATTTCCCTTTCTGCAACTTGTGCTTGTGCCCTGGTTTGTAGCTGGGCCAGAGCTGGTTTCTTTGCAGTAGCTAGAACAGCGCCGGGGTTTGGTTTCAGCTGGGATTTGTTAGGCGAAGGTTGGTAACATACCAACGGGATATTCGTATCCTACCCCAGGATTCTGTCCAGATGGTTTTTTAATATCTCCAGGAAGGGAGATTCCACAACCTCTCTGGGCAGCCTGTCCCAGTGCTCAGTCACCCTCCCAGTGAAGAAGTTCTTCCTTACGTTCAGGTGGAACTTCCTACGCTGCAGTTCATGCCCGTTGCCTCTCGCCCTATTGTTGGGCGCCAGTGAGGAGTCTGGCCCTGACCTCTAGACACTCTCCTTTTAGATATTTATAAACATTGATCAGATCCCCTCTGCGTCGTCTTTTCTCCAGGCTGAACCTCTCCAAAGGCTCCGCCTTTTTTACATCTCGGCCCCGACACCGTAAACAGCCGGATGATGTCAAAATTTTGTAGCCACTGATTTGACAGTATCTTTATTACACAACATCTTATTACACACAACATTCAACAGACAGCTCGCAGGGAGCACAGGGCACAGTCACAGCTTGGGAGGTCCCGTCAGCCTCCAGCCCTCCTTGTTACCGATCTTCATGAGAGCAGCAGTGATTCCAAACCCCAGACACGCAGTGGTACCGGTCATGTAACTGTGAGCTGGAAAAAACAAATCAAACCAGAAAAGATCTATTAGGGCACAAGTACTGGATATTAGAACTCGAGAGACTCTGCAATTTTTCCATGAACTACTCACACCAGTAACATTGTTTGTCAAGAGAAATCAGAAAAGGGACCTTTTTTTTTTTAAAAAAAAAAAAAAAAAGTTTTCTCATGCTTTTAGCTTGTGGTTTGAAATATCAGTTTCTATAATCCACCACCCTATCTCCTTACATAGGCAACCTTAAATGCCTTATTTCAGTGACAAAAATAACAATCACTGCTTTGAACTCGCATCAGCTCAGCAACTAGGAAAAGTAAAGATAAATTCTATTTCACCACAATTACAGCTTAAATAAATGCCTACGGAAAACAGAGCTGTTTAAACATCCGCAGGAGCTCATCCAGCCTGACAAGACGCCACAGGAGCAACAGCAGCAAGATACAGCTCGCCCCTCAGAGCGCACGAGGAACTCACAAGACAGATGTTAGATGATACTTTCTGTGCAAAATAAATCACACATTTGTTGACAAGAAAACATGGATTTCCACAATTATGTTTTGCATCCCCTGCAATTTCAAGTTATAACTGGCAGTTATAATTAGCAGTACTGGGTCAGCTCTGTTTTCATTCCATAAATCAGCTTGATGTTATCCCCGGTCTCCTTCCGAAGCAGTATTTATTTTAGAAGATGTGTACAATGGAGCACCAACAAAACCACGTGCTGAGATGAATCTTTACCAAATATGTCTGACATCAAGATTATTTTGCATTTTTCCCTAATAGAAAGATTTCTAAAACCAGCGAGGGCTTGTTTTGTTACAGGCATTATCCACACTTACCTCTTGCACCTAAGACAGCTCCTGTTGCACAGCCTCCTATGAAATAGTCGAGGGGATCACCTGGTTTCTCTCGGATTTGGGCACTGAGGCAGGTAGTTACACCAAACACAGCTCCTAGTGTCGCTGAAAACAAGAGGCATAAAACCAAAACAAAACCCCTCAAGGAACCGAGACTTAAACACACACACAAAGCACGTTTTGGAGACGCAGGGGGGTGTGCAAAACAGTTCCTCTGGGAGAGGAACATAAATCATCTGCTTTTGGTTACCCAGGGCCACCAGATCCCAGCCACTACAGTGGCACTGTACATGTCTCGCTTGGTTCTTTCTGGTTCCTCCTCTGCTCCAGTCACCTCTGTGTCACACGGGTCCCACGCACACAGGTCCAGCCTGGCTGTTAGCTGGACCCCCAGGAACCCGTCTGTGTGCTGGCACAAGGCAGGTGTGTTCAAAGGGCTACAGACAAAAGCCACCACATCCAGCTTGGTTATTAGCTCAGCCTTAGTAAGAGTCCCTCCAGACGAAGCAATGGGGCAGCCCCCAAACAGCCAGGGGGTAAGAGAAGGGAGCAGCAGGCTCCTCCGCAGGGTGTAGGAGGGAGCAGAGCTCTGCCTGGGCTCTGCAGTGAAACACCGCTCATGAGACCGTGTGAACCCAGTCCCACAGGGATCAGGCAGAGAAACCCAGACGGCTCTGCTCTCCTTATGGTCGCTTTGCCCCAGCACTTTACTCCTCTGCCTGCCTGGGCCCTGCCACGATTTTTGGACAGTGGAAGTTGTAAACTATTCTTTTTGTAAACTGATTTTTAAATTTTGTCAATTGATTTCATAAACTGGATTCAGAAATTGCATTAAGAAGTAGCATCGTCTCCTCCTCATCCCATCAGACCCTACATCTATACATCTGAAAAGTCGGGTGAACAGCTGTGGCAAGCAAATGCACTAAAAGGTTTTCTTTGTTTGTAATACAGGTTCTTGATCATGAAACGTGATACTGGCTACCAGGTATGACCAGCAGACTTTAATTCATCTTTCTTGGGAACAAAAAAAATGTCCATGATAAATTTTTTCACTTTCTATGGTAAACTAGTAAACCACAAGCTCTTGTTACAAACCGCTGCAGTTTTCCAGCAGAAAATGAAATCATGCTGATCCTGCATCGTTGCATAAAGCAACTGCAGAGCACTGAAGAAACAAAACCCACAGACCAAGGAATGTGTTTCAGCTCCCCTGCTTTGGCCCGAGGAGTCTGCAGGTAAAACACAAGGCTTCAGACAACAAGTTCTGGCCCCTTAACAGTGGACAGGATAAGCCCTTTCTCAGGTGTGAGAAGTGGTGAGAGGATTCAATCCGCTGGTTTAGGACTGTGCAATTCATCAGAATCATCACTGGTTACATTATCCAATCCATTATAATGACCTTTTATGGTTTAACTCATTACTGAAGATTGTGGGTCCTGTTTTAGAGGAGAACAACTCACAAATGCAGATCCTGGACTGCTTGTGAACCAGCTTCCAGCTCAGAGCACTGGTGCACGGGGAGAGATGGAGGTGACAAAAGCCATTAAACTAGACTGAAAAACAAGACGAGTTTGGTGAGAAGAAAACTGTGCACTTGTCAAGGGGCTGGGGGAGCTTCAGCCCTGCAGATCTGCACCTGCATCTGGAACAGCTCCCTCAGTTCCCTGCTTGTCTCATCAGCTCCCACTTTCTCTTGTAAAACACAGACAACTCAAGACAGCTGCATGGTTTCTTCTTGGCTATGAAGCATGACTGCCCAGCAAGGCTGTGGAGTCTCCTTCTCTGCAGAGACTCCAAACCCGCCTGGATGTGAATCTGTGCAACTTGCTCTGAGTGACCCTGCTCTGGCAGGGGGGTTGGACTGGATGGTCTCCTGGGGTCCCTTCTGACCCCACCAGTCTGGGATTCTAGGACAGGAAAAAACCCCACATTTATTTTCCTTTTCCCATCAAAAACATTACACTTGCTCTTCAACAAGTGTGATTTATTAAGTGCAATGCCAAAATATATGAAGGACAAAAAAAAAAAAGTCTTCTTCCACGATACTTTTGTCCATAAACTAGCTGTTTTGACAATACTAAAAGTATTACTCTAGACTGTAAAAAATGTCTTACCTAAACTTCAAATAAAGAACATGCCTTTAAATAAGGAGCACGGGAGGCAGAGACTGCCTCAGATGCATCTCCAGCCTGAGCTGACAAGGCTGTTCTTCTGTCTTGAGCATTAATCCAGGCGTTTGTTTTGCCATCACCCATACAACTCCTAGTATTACCTTATCCAGCAGAAAACGTTATATCCATTGTGAATAACTTCTCTTCCACTGCATTTTATTCCATTCCATTTGAGATGGAAGGCAGCAGGGTGTTAGAGGGAACACAGCAGAAGGAAACGCCACCGGCAGAGCTTTACGGTTCCTTCTTTCCAGTCGTTTTATCCCTTCGGCTCTTGGCTCCCACCCTTAACACAACCACCTGCCTCCGAGGCGGGCGGAGGAGGAGCCCGACCGGCCCCCAGTGCAGGGTGGGGGCGGAACCAAGAAGCCTCCCC